ATAAAGGAAAAAAAAGTAATCCAAAGGAAGATTATAAAATGAGGTTCAAAGCACTTGACAAAAAAAAAAGCCTTTAAAAAGATATTAAAAAGATACTTCATGAGACACAATTAAAAATAACAATTCAACCTGACAGTACTAAAGAATGCTTCCATTAAAGCAGACCAAGGAAATCCACATCTGTCACATGCAGCTTTATTGAGATTTCATCTTGATCAGTGACTTCAGGAGGTATATGAAAGGTGTACAAATGAATCACTACATCTGCCTTCTGAACAGAAATCACCTAATTAAGATCAATAGACACACACCACAGGAATAAAGACGATAAATTCTACAATGTGATTTTACACTATTCCTCCATAATACTATGTTAAGGGACAACTCTTTCCTTTCGAATCTGATACAGTGTCCATCTCCACAAAGGAAAAATACATATAAACCTGCACAAATGTTCCTCTGACCAAATTCTCTATTTTGAAAAGTTCATGTGAGTAGCAAGTCCTTGAATGCACAAGAGTGAATGAATGAATAAGAAGGCTTTAAAAGTAACAACCAAAGTTCAGATGAAAGGAAGAAATTATATATACACAAATTAAAATCAGCACTAAAAGGTCACACTTTCACTGTTCTTTTTTCTTAATCTCTTCCTGATTCCTCACAAAGCCAAGTGCTCTAAACTCAAAACACCACTAAATATTCCATGTTCACAGCCATCTCAAACTTACAGAATACTTTAACTCTTTGGCACTCAAACTCACTCTACAATTTTAAAAAAAAGGAAATCACGTAATCTGTCAAATAAATGTTCTATTTTTACCCATCTACTCCCAAGTTCTACATCAAAACTGAGAAGCAGGGCTTTTACAAATGAGAGAAAGTAAGGATTAAAGCTTTTGTTCTTTGCAGTACTTGCCAAATAAATAATTTTTTGTTTTCTTCCTGAAAGAAGAGTAAAAAGAGATTATTACAATAGTTAAATGCCATTTCCCAAGCTCTGAAGGCTTTTCCTAACAAGGACAAACATATCAGACTTATTTTGCCCTTTCTACAAATAGAATGCTGTTACATTTACCATTGTTTGGATAAAGAACACCAGGCCAGAAGGAAGTCGTGACTTCATGGCTCACAATAAAGTGGTGGTGAACCTTTGTTAGTTGTTATAAAACAGTCTTAACAACTACCATGAAATGAAAATTCCTCACAGACACTGTTCATATAAACACAGATGTGCCTGGTTTTAACAGAAGAGACAATCCTGAAAGTTGTATATCTACCCAATCATATTTTAAATCTATCAGGAAAGTTTGCTATTGAAACACACTTGCCCAAATGCCACCTAAAATGTAAATACTACTGACTTTTCTTAAAGAAAGGCAAACCTACATTTTCAGGTATTTCAAACACCTGAAAAAATACCATGAGCCTACTATCAGGTAAGCTGTCGGGGAAGATGCCAAGTGCTCTTTAGTTCTGATTGAGATGCAGAAGCAGGGAAACACAGTGGGCAGCAGATAGGTCTGGGGAGAACGGTTAGAGAAGAAGCTAAGACTAGGAGTTAGAGGTTGGATTAGATGACTTCTAAGGCTCTGGACAAATTGTAATTGTATTGTAAGGTACATCTGAGCAGTGACAGTGGATTAAGTACCGATCAGTTTACATTCCTGTCTATTCTCCCTTATAAGAAAGATGTTAGATATAGAATCTAAAAGCATAAAATTAAGTTATTAGACTTCCTGTGATATAAAAACCGACCATGGCTTAAGACTTAGGAATAATCTATTGTAAACACAACCTAGAACTGATTTTTTTAGAAACACACAAAAGTAATTTGATGGGAAAGAATACGATATCATAAAAAGAATATCTCAATCCCTATCTCACACCATACAAAAAAATGAATTCTAGATGGCAGAAGAAAACACAAAATGCTCTCATTACAAGGGGTAAAGATTTCTTCGGATTTAAAAAGTAGTAATCATAAAAGAAAAATTTGATAAATTAGACTTCATAAATATTTACAACTTTTGCTCATCAATTGTCAACACTAGGAAAATGACTAGACAAGCCACAGACTAGAAGACAATGTCCACAGAGCATGTATTTGCCAAAGGACTTATATCCAGAATATATAAAGAATTCCTACAAATCAACAATAAAACGATGTACACAACATAAAAGAAGACATACAAGTGGTCAATAAGCACATGAAAAGTGCTCACAATCATTAGTCACAGTAAAATACAATACCACTACATAAATTCACCAGAATGGCTAGAATGAAAAAGACCGACAACACCAAATGTTGTCAAGAATGTGAAACAAAGAGAACTCTCATTCACTGCTGGTAGAAACAGAAAATGGTATGAATGTTTTGGGGAACTGATTGACAGGTTCCTATAAAGTTAGTACCTACAATATGACCCAACAATTCCAATCTTAGGTATTTACCCAAAAGAACTGAAAACATATGTGTGCTGGAAGATTTGCAAGGATGCCATAGCAGTTTTATCCATAATAGCAAAATACTGTTAATAATCAAAATGCTCATCAACGTTAGGATGGATAAACAATTTGTGGTATATTCATATTTATGCAATGGAATACTACTCCGTTGCACAGGAACAAACCCTAATCAACTTAGATGAATCTCATACATATTAGACTGAACAAAATAAGTCATATGATTTCATTTATAAGAATTAGAGTCAGCAAAACTAAACCTATGGTGATAGAAATCAGATCAACAGTTGCTTTTGTAGACACTGAGGAACAGCAAGAGGGAAGTCTAAGGAGTGAATAGTGTTCTAAATCTTGGTAGACTTGTGGGTTATACAGCTGTATACATTTATTAATACTAATAAGTTATACACTCAAATGTTGTGCACTTTACTCAATGTATATTTTACTTGAGTCTATTTATTTATATTTTTGGCTGTGTTGGGTCTTCATTGCCATACGCAGACTTTCTCTAGTTGTGGCAAGCGAGGGCTACTCTTCATTGTGGTGCACGGGCTTAGTTGCTCTGTGGCATATGGGATCTTCCCAGACCAGGGCTTGAACCTGTGTCCCCTGCATTGGCAGGCGGATTCCTAACCACTGCACCACCAGGGAAGTCCTACTTGAGTCAATTTTAAAAAGGACTCTTCAATAAAATAAGAATTACAAATATCGCAATTCTAGTAAGCTTGCATTAACACAGTGTTATCAGTTACCAATTCTGAAACTACATTCTGAGTGTCCTAGGCTTCTAAAAATGAGTAAATATACTAGAGTAGTGGTAGCCAGATTTCTCAATGTTGGCAAAGGAAGATATAAACATAGAAAAGGGAAGGGAATTACAAATATGAAAAGGAGGGGATCCTACTTTGTGCTGTTAGACTGAAATTAAAAGTATCAGTATAAACTCATAGTTTTTAATAGATAGATATTAACATATGTGTACAAGTACATACACATGTGTAGGCGTATCTGTACGTGTACATAAATGTGTGTTGTATATACACACAAATGAGTATATATGTGTATATTCACACACACAGACATGTACACATTTCCTAGTTCTGCTACAGAAAGGCCTTAGAAACAATAACATACTAGGAGCAATAAATACACCTAGTGTTACAAAATCTTGGTTTCTACATACCATTATCCAATAAAGGAACCAGGGCTTCTTAGAAAAATGTTGTATCTGGGCTAGAGCCAAGAAACTATAAGATAAGCCTGGAACAACTTGTTGCACAAGACAAGAAAGAAGTTTTCCAAGAATCATGAGAACATGCCAAAGGAACAGCTAAACAGCTTGAGAGAGCAACCAGTAGCCAAATCTGGGACAATCTCAGCATCAAAATAAATAATGATATAAATAATGATAGTAATGGACTATAATACATCCAGTTAAGAATCCATGAGTCCATGAGTCCATACTGATGTAAGTCAATAAATAAGGGAAGAAGGGAAAGCTTTTGCCTACACTAGAATGAAACTAGTAAATTCAAAAGGAACGATGGAGTTAGAAAATCATCAATTGATATTAAATCTAGTGGGTAAAAATTTGATGAGAAACAACATATTTACATAATCTCAAAAACTGACTTAGAAAATATTTTCTAACTACAAAGGGAAAATAAGAAACTTTTAAGTGGAGAAACTTAGCAGTCACTACCCTAAGCAAGTGATCAAAGCTACTTGGAACCAAGTGACATGTGCCTTCTGACATGATGCACTGAGAACACATCACTTCTATGATACTTGTGCTAAAACTGGATACACAAATATAGTCATGAAGAAATATCAGACAGCTTCAAACACAGGACATGCTACAAAACAACCCGTACTCTACAAAAATATTAACTTCATGAACCATAAAGAAAGGCAAGGAACTGTACCAGATGAAAGGAAACAAAAGAGATAGGACAATTAGGTGAAATATGTGATCCTGGATTGGATCCTAGACCAGGAAAAAAAAAAGCTATAAGAAACCCTGTGCAGTTGATATTTTACCCTTTTTATAAATAAGGAACCCTCTTAAAAAGGTTAAATAATAGCTAGTACAAAGTAAACAGTACCTGTAAGATATGTATTCTCAGTATTCAATGTATTAGGCAGGTGGCTACCTCCCTGGACAGCTGTATCAAAGAGTTATAGTCTCAATCAAAAACCTTTACACACATTAAATGCAGTTAAAATTAAGTATTCTCTCATATTCTTTAATAGAAATAATTAAATGGATCACCCTAAGTGTATCAAAGTTGAACATTTCAAGTAAAATAAAAAAGATATAGTGAATATAAGGATATCTGTCATTCATTTATTTTAAAGCAACTTACTTTAAAAGACTTACTAAATGTAAATGAAAGTAAACTCTAGTTAGATGTGATAAATAAAAATTACAATAGAAGCGACTGTAACCTGCAAAAACTAAACCATAATAACAAATAAAAACCCACACTATTAGCGTACTGAGTTCAAACTTCCATACTTACGAAAGGTACACATACCTTTTCCTAAATGTGTGTTTATGCTCATATATCTAGCTGTTCCTGTAAGGCTCTTATGTTCTCTGTATGGTATGTGTTTCTTTGTCTCTGGATCAATATATTCCTTTGCCAAACCAAAATCTATAATATGAATAACTTGCTGGGTTTTGTTTCCTGGTCGTCCTATTAAGAAGTTCTCAGGCTTCACATCTCTGTATATCAAGTTCTTTGAATGGACATACTCCATGCGAGAAATCTTGATTCAAAAAAAAAAAAAAGATACATTTTATTTTAGGTTTTGACTAGCATAAAATAGTATGATAGAGGCAAGACAATTTTTACAATGAAAACAACATTAAGAAGAAAAAATCGTTTGAACCCTTTAAAAGAAACATGATATCACTCAGTAGTTTCTTAAATATATGTCCAATTATGATTAAATATCTTTGCTTTTTACTATTTTGGGCACTTATATAGGAAAGTGCTTGAAGTTTATGAATTCCTTTCTTATCAGGAAGCCTGATTAAATCAACACTTTCAGATGATGCTACCTTATAGAATTAAAAAGCTTTACTAATACAGAATCTTGAACTCAAAAATATAAACAGATATGTTCACAAAGTTGCAATTTATTCTTCCTTATCTGTTCAATAATGGAGAGAGTTTTATAATTACACTAAAGAAACTTAAAAGAGTCTAAACTGTTAAATAAAAGAATTAACAGAGCACTTTGTTATCTTTTTTATAACTTGTTTACTTTTTTCCTTAGGTATTAAACATTTAAAAAGATCTTGAGACTAGAAAACTTTGGAATCCAACTCTAATAATAATATAATACATTTTTATTCATTGCTTTACACATTCTCAAATAATGTTTATTGTATAAACTGTCAGAAAACAGAACATTACAAATAACAAAAGTGCTTCATTTAATGATATTCATGGTTGACAATACAATGTAAGTGAACACAGTCACTCAAGCCACTTTAGTTTGTTAACAAATTCTGGATCATATAACATATACTATTCTATGACCTATAGCTCTCATTAACAATATATTACGAGCATTTTCCAGGTCATGAAACATTCTTTTAATATACACTTTTTAGTGGCTGCATATTATTTTATGGCTATTAATAATTTATCCAACTAACACTGTTATTTCTGTGCATTCGGGTTGTTTCCCACTTTATTATAGAAGTCTTTGCACAACAAGCTTTAAGTACATCTGAATACTTCCATTGGATAAATCTGTAGAAGTAATGAGTCAACAGATAAAAACAATCTTAAGACTTCTGCAGCATACACTTACTGGCATTTATTTCAAAACTGCCTTAAAATTATCCTCTTATTTCCCCATAGGCTCCCTGAAATTTAAATGATTTATAAGACTTTCTCATTAGTTTGTTTCTTCTTTTTCTAGGCCATTTTAATTTATTACCAAGATTAAAAACCCATGTTTCTGAGGGTTCTCTTCTCTAAGTATTCATTTTCAACCTGAAAAGAGTGCTGGAAACAACTTAATTCTCAAACTGAGCATTCTGACCTTAAAGTAGTAAGATATTAATTTTTTCATACAAATAAAATACACCTGATTCAGTTATTTTAAGTTACAGTCATCCTAAAAGGACAATGATATGAAAAGCAGACATTTTTATTAGGTCAAATGCTGTGGAAGATAATGTCACAAAACTTTAAACTTTCAGTGTAAATTAGTGACCAAACGAACCACACAATTGTTCAAACAGCTTCAAAACATCCTGCTTTACTTACCAGTTGGATAGCTATCATGAGAACCGTTTTAAGAGAAAATGTTCTGTCACACAAATCAAACAAATCTTCCAAACTAGGTCCCAGCAGTTCCAGCACCATAGCGTTGTATTTCCCACAAGGGCCAAAATAGTAAACTTGAGGTATACCATCTGGAGGAAAAGAATAACAATAAACAATTTTTTAATAATTTTGTAGCTTCAAGAACTGCAGCAGTAATTTTATTTTTTCCATACAAACAATAAACTTCTCCTGACCCAGCCTCCTCCCTCCCTATACCTTCTCCTTCATGTTCACAGAGTAGCCTGGTTACACTTCTACTGAACCTGCATTACTGAACTACATTATAAACAGTGCTTCATTGTTGGTCTCCACCAACCTCACTATAGAAAGGAACTGTGCCCTTGAGACTTGTATTTCCATGGCCTACAGAAATGCTTGGCACATAGGAAAGATCTTATTTTTATTGAACAAAGGAGTTACTGCACTCTTTCATAACCCTGTGGTAGGCATAATGCTAAGTTCAACCCCCAAGATTTTCATCCTCTGGTGTACACAACCCATATAATCCTTTCCCCGCAAGTGTGGGCAAGATTCCCAGATTCCACTCTTGTCATTAGATTATGTTATATGGCAAAGGTAACAAAATTAAGATCCCTGTTAGTGGAGGTTAAATTAATCAAAAGGGAGATTATTCTGTTGGGCATGACTTAATCAGGTAAGATGTTTAAAAAGCAAGTCTAGAAGTCAGAGATAATCAAAGCAGCAGAGCAGTTCTCCTGTTGACCTTAAAGACACAAACTACTATGTTGTGGAAGAGGGCCACATGCCAGGAAATGGTGGGCAGGCCCTAGGAACTGAGAGCCTCATCACACAGCCATGAGGAACTGAATTCTAGAAATAACCAGTGAGCTTGGAAAAGGACTCAGAGGCTCAGAAAAGATTGCAGTCCAAGCTTACACCTTGATTTAAGCCTGGAAAGACCCTCAACAAAGGACAAAGCTAAGCTATGCCTGGACTCATGACCAATAGAAACTGGGAGATAATAAAGTCTCTTATTCTATGTAACTAATTACTAAATAAATCATTATGCAACAACACAAAATAATACAAACTCCAAATATAAAGTCTAAATACATAAAAATCACCCGTATTTTATTTTTAGAACTAACAGACTCCCAATAAACTAACATATAATAGGGGATCATTTTATCTTAACATTGTATCTATTTATTCGTTATGAGGAAATGAACAACTTCCATCTTAAACGTCTCAGTTTTACTTATGAGTATTTTTTGTTTTGTTTTGTGTAACGATTTTAGAAAGGAAAAAAACTTTCTAAAATATACTAAAACCTTCCCATCCTTTTTAAAATAAAGAGTATGGAAAACATAATTTCACTCTGTTGTTTATTTTATCATTTTGCATAATAATTATTGCATGGGCAAAACAAAACATTGAACTAGAAGCCAGGAGAGCTAGGTTCTTAGTTTGGCTTAATACTAACTATTCAACCTCTCAAGCTGACTTCAGTTTATCTATATTAGTAGTTTAGATAAGACCAGTTTTTCTAAAATGTGAGTATGAGAAAGGCAGCAGAACAGCTGAAGATAGGAAGGTAAGATAATATAATCATGACAGGGGTAGGGGAAGGAGACAAGTTCAAATTGTGTACATGGTCTCCTCCCCCAAAATAGAGATTCTCATACACCCCCATGTGTACACATCACCACCCTGTACCACACCACACCACACACACACACACACACACACACACACACACACACACTTCCCCCTGCCACTGAGAATCATTATCTTCTTACTAGAGCCACTCATATCATATTTGAGTCATATCTACCCCCATTATAAGTAAAAACAGATAAAAGGCTTAGAAATAGTGGATGAGAGACTCTAACATTTATTCAACTCTGAAATACTGATTTTAGTATGCTATATACATCAAGAGCCTAGAGATGCAATTAAGACTTACCAATAGCTCTCAGCTACTGAGTTTTAAAAAATATTTCTACAATGCTTTCCCCCCTCTATTCCACTGAAAGTGCTAACTTCTATGCTCTTAATTTAGCAACCTCTTAATAACCCATTTCCACTCTTTAGTTTGTTGCTTCTTGGTCATAAAGATGTTCACCAAACTCAGGAGGAGAATGGATGAACACAGTGAGAGCTTCAACAGGGATTGAAATATAGGAAAGTACCAAAGAGGTTATAACTCAATTGAAAAATATACTAGAGGAGTTCAACAGTAGACTGGATGAAGTAAAAGAATGAATCAGTGAGCTGCAAAACAAAACAACTGAACTCATCCAGACAGAGAAGCAAAATGAAAAGTAGAATTTTAAAAAGTGAAATTAATTTAAGAAACCATTGAGACAGCATCAAGCAAAATAACATTTGCATTATATGGATCCCAGAAGAAGAAGAGAGAGAAAAGGGGCCAGAAAAACTATCTGAAGAAATATGGCCAAAAATTTCTCTAATCTGGGGAAGGAAACAAATATCCAGGTCCAGGAATCCCAGAGAGTTCCAAAAAAGATTAACCCAAATAGACATACACCAAGACACATTATAATTAAAATGGTGTAAGTTCAGGATAAAGAGAAGATCCTAAAAGCAGCGAGAGAAAACCAACTTGTTACATACAAAGTAAACTCCATAAGACTATCAGCAGATTTTTCAGCAGAAACTTTACAGGCCAGTAGTGAGTGGCATAACCTATTCAAAGTGCTAAAAGGAAAAAACCCCCAACAAGAATTCTCCACCTAGCAAATTTATCATTCAGAATTGAAGAAGGGATCAAGAGTTTCCCAGATAAGCAAAAGCTTAAAGGAGTTCATCACCACAAAACTGGCCCTACAAGAAATATTTAAGAGATTTCTTAAGCTGAAAAGAAAAAGCACTAGTTAATAATAAGAAAACACATGCAAGTAAAAAATCTTTCTGGAAAAGGTAAATATATAATAAAGGTAGTGGATCAATCAATTATAAAGCAAACATGATGGTTTAAAGACAAGAAGTAGTAAATTTAAATTAAATTCCAATAGTTAGTTAAGGGATGCATAAAATTAAGAGGTAAAATGTATCATCAAAAGTATAAAACATTGGGGCAGGGGCCTGGAGTAGTAAAAAGATAAAGCTTTGAAATGTGTTCAAAGTTAATTTGCTACCAGCTTAAAACAGGCTACTACTTACATCGGATGTTATATATGAACTTTACAGTAACAGGGAAAAAAACTTATAGTAAATATACAAAAGAAAATGGAAAGAAATTTAAATATAACACTGAAGAAAACCACCAAAACACGAAGGAAGAGGGAAAGAGAAGAAAGGAACAGAGAGGAACTACAAAAACAACCAGAAAACAATTAACACAATGACAAGTACATACTTATCAATAACTACTTCAAGTGGACTAAAATAGCCAAGAAAAAGACAGTGAGGGACTGTTTAAATTAAAAAAAAAAAAAAAAAAAAAAGATCCATCTATATGCTGCCTACACGAGACTTACTTCAGGAGAAAGGACTCACACAGACTGAAAGTGAAGGAATGGAAAAAATTTCAATGCAAATGTAAATAAAAGGAAAGTTGGAGTAGCTATACTCATATCAGACAAAACAGACTTTAAAACAAAGACTATATTAAAAGACAACAAGGGCAAACATAATGATAAAGGTGTCAATCCAGCAAGAAGATATAACATTTATAAATGTATACGCATCCAGTAGAGGAGCACTAAGATATGCAACACAAATATTAACAGACTTAAAGGGAGAAATTGAAAGCAAAACAATAATAGCAGAGGACTTTAACACCCTTCTTACATCAATGGATAGATCATCCAGAACAAAAATTAAAAAGAAAACATCAAACTTAAATCACACATTAGATCACACGGACTTAACATATAGAACATTCCATCCAAAAGCACCAAAATATACATTCTTTTCAAGTGCACATGAAACATTCTCCAGGATAGATCATATATTAGGTCACAAAAAAAGTCTCAATATAAATTCAGAAAGGCTGAAATCATATCAAGCATATTCTCTGGCCACAATACTATGAAACTAAATATCAATCACAAAAAGAAAATAGTAAAAACTACAGAAACATGGAAATTAAACAACATGCTACCAAACAACCAATAGGTCACTAAAGAAATCAAAAAAATACCTAGAGACAAATGAAAGCAGAGATATAACGTACCAAAATCCATGAGATGCAGCAAAAGCAGTTCAAAGAAGAAAGACCATAGCAATATAGGCCTACCTCAAGAAACGAGAAAAATCCAATATAAATAATCTAAATTTACACATAAAGAAAACATAAAAAGAATAAATGAAGCTCCACATTCGAAGAAAGGAAATAATGAAGATCTGAGTGGAAATAAATGAAATAGACATTTAAAAAACAACAGAAAAGATCAATGAATCTAAGAGCTAGTTCTTTGAAAAGATAACCAAAATTGACAAATCGTTAGCTAGACTAACCCCCCCAGGAAAAGAAAAAGAGGGGACTCAAACAAATAAAATCAGAATGAAAGAGGAGAAATTACAACTGATACCACAGAAATACAAAATATCATAAGGTACTACTATGAACAATTCTACACCAACAAATTAGACAACCTAGAAAAAACGGAAAATTCCTAGAAACATCCAAGCTTCCAAGACTGAATCAAGAAGAAACAGAAAATTTGAATAGAACAATTACTAGTAAGGAGACTGAAACTATAATTGAAAGCTCCCAACAAACAGAAGTCTGGGATCAGATGGCTTCACTGGCAAATTATACAAAACATTCAAAGAATACCAATCCTTGTCAAACTCCTTCTCAAACTCTTCCAAAAAATTAAAGAGGAAGAAAACCTTCCAAACACATTTTATGAAGCTACCATTATGCTGATACCAAAACCAGACAAGGACACCATAAAAGAAAATTACAGGCCAATATCGTTGATGAACAAAAATGCAAAAGCCCTCAACAAAATATGAGCAAACCAAATCAAGCAATACATTAAAAAAATCATACACCATGATCAAGTGGGATTTATTCCAAGGATGCAAGAATATTCAACATCTGCAAATCAATCAACATGATACCATATATTAACAAAATGAAGGATAAAAATCA